AAGCGACTCTACATTGCTTACAGCACCTATTCCAACGCAAATGGCATGTAGTAAATCTGCTGTTAGGCTGTGTCATTGAGGGACTAATGAAAGAAGATACATCTGTACAGATGGGTTTTTTCTCTAAACTTACCTGTTTTTTTTAGTCTTGCTGTGTGACTCAGGCTGCCCTAAGATTTGCAATGATGCTTCTGCCTTCTGATGAGTTTGGGATTGCAGGCCTGTGTCACCAAGCAGACATACGTATTTATTCATTTAGTTAGGTTTTCATTTTATTATTTATTTATTTATTTATTTTTGAGGTAGGGTCTTACAGAGCCCCGGCTGGCTTTGTAGCTGAGTGTGAGCCCCCGATCCTTCTGTGTTTGGTTGGTGGGTTTGTGTGTTTGTTTCTCAATGCCATCTTTGCCCGTGCTCTGAGGTGTGTACCTCGGCTACACAGATGGCCCTGGGGCGGTGAGCATGTGACATAGCAGCACCTGTGACCTCAGGTTGCCCTCCCTGGAAGGGTTATGTGGATGTCAGGTTTGCGGGTATTTATTGACCTGCTGTGAAAGGCCGAGAGCCTCAGAGGCAGGTACCAGGCTTGTCAGGCCTTCCATGTAGTAGGGAGATAAAGTGGAGTCCAGGGGAGCTTGGGGTGATGGAGACTGGTGTGTGTTTTTGTTGCTGCTCATCCTGGGTTTTAAATCCAGGGCTTCACATCCATTAGGCAAACGCGTTATCATTTATTTACACACTCAACCAGTTTTTACTTGTTACTCTGAGATAAAGTTTTGCTGAATTGCCTTGGCTGGCTGTCGACTTGCTCTGTAGTCCAAGTAGGCCTTGAACTTGTATGAACTTCCTCAGTCTCCCAAATAGCTGAAATTACAGGCCTACACTTCCAGGCTGTGCTGGTGTTTTTTGCTTTTTAAGCAAAACTGCTGTTAATATCCTGATGCGCTTGCTTTTTTTCCGGTGCTGGAGTTGCTGGGTCAGAGGGCACATGGGGAGGAAAGGTTGGTAAATGGGGTCAGGCCCCCAGGTCTTAGGCTTCTTTTAGCAGGAAATGCATCCAGGGCAGTGCTGAGCAGGTGGGTTTCAGGTTTGACCTTTCCTCCTAGGACATGGGGGGCCTGCTATACAGCTTCCTACACCTTGTTCATTCTGTTTGGAGCTGAGGTAATTCAGGCCAGCTACCTGAATTACAGTGTTGCTCATGGGACCTCAGGCCCATGGCTGCACTGATTT